GGCCGGGGGACTGCAGCCCAGCAGTCGCGCCGGTGGCGGTCGGCCCTCCAGCCCCAGCCCGTCGGTGGTGAGCGAGAAAGAGAAGGAGGAGTTGGAGCGGCTGCAGAAGGAGGAGGAGGAGAGGAAGAAGAGGCTGCAGCTCTATGTGTTCGTGATGCGCTGCATCGCCTATCCCTTCAACGCCAAGCAGCCCACCGACATGGCTCGCCGGCAGCAGAAGGTAGGTGCGCCTGGGAGGCCCCGGGAGCGGCGCCGGGACGTAGCCTGGCGGGTGGGGCGAACAATGGGAGCTGGCGGCGCAGCTGGCGAGGTAGAGCAGCAGGAGGAGGAGTAGACCGCGCCCTGGGGAAGGGGCTACGAGGCCCCCTCTCCGAGGCCGGGGTCGGCCCAGCTCCGAGCGCGCCTGGAGCTGCCGGGGACCGGCGAGGTGCCTGGACCTCAGCGCCGTGTGTCTCCACCCGGGAGCGCTGGGGAGCTAGGTGGGCAGGTCCGGCTCTATGGCCCGGGAGGCTCGGGGAGTGACTTGCAGCCCGCGGCGCCCAAAGAGGCCTTGCTCCTTTTGCCGGGCTCCCGGCACTCTCCAGCGGCTTGGCGGCTGCGCTCAGCTCTGGGCCCGCCTTCCTGGGCGTGCGCTCGGCGGGCGGGGGCACCCGGCAGGTGGGGGCACCCGTGTAGAGCGAGAAGAGCGCCTCCGAGTCGCGCTTGGTTCGCCTAGCCGAGAGAGCCGCAGGGGCAGGCGGGACAAAGCAAGTCCGGGAGGCGAAGCTTCCAGTCACACGGCGAAGGGCACCCTCCTCCCCTCGTCGGGGTCAGCTGATCCCGACTAGGGTAGTCTAAGGGTCCTCGGGCACCGCTTCCCCCTCTGGCTGATGTTACCCCCAAACCCTCTGCCCCTTCCTCAGTGACCCCAGAGCCGGGGCACGCCCTCTGGTCCTTCTACCAGGGTCAGCTCCTCTACCTTCCTCCCTTTGACCCTCTTCTCTTCCCAAGGTGACTTCGCCGCCACCTTCTGGCTCTCCGAGGCCCTCAAGCCAAGCCGCTTTGGGCTTGATAAAGTGCAGCTGCAAAAAGCTTCGCAATTACGAGCATCAAAAGCTTTTTGTGTCTGAGGCTGGGGCAAGGCTGAGGCGGCTCCGGGCTGCTTCTGATACGAAAAAAGTGCCTATTTCTATCAGCTGTTTCCCAGCCAGAGAAAGGAGAGGGAAGGTTACTGCAGGATAAGGGGCTGTGGTGGGACCAGAAGAGAAGAGGTCAGGTCCCCGGTTGGAGGTTGGAGGGAGTTAGTGAAGAAAGTCCGCATTTCGTTGTTTCTTTTAAGTGAATTTGTCAATTCCATTTTGAAAGCATAGCCGGTGAAGCCCCCAGAGGGACGGTTTCTTAAAAGAGTGAATTTCTTGGTTGCTGTCACTTGAGACTGAATTCCATGTTGCTGTAGTAGCGTGTTAGGGTTTCCTGTATTTATCCACCCTTATCTTAAATTAGCACAGATTTCTCTGTTTGTTTTGCTTATATATGTACACACACCACCCAGCGCTGATGATTTATTTCAGCTATCACAAGCTTGGTTATCAGTTTTATTAAAAATACAACTCATTTCCTGGTTGGGGAATAGCAGGTGGGCTACACACTCTGCTCTCTACCCCTCATCTGTGGCCCCTTGCTTTTTCAGCCTCTATTGTGGACTACAGTAGACAAAAGTATCCTCAGAACAATAAAAGTTTTTGGATTTTCTATTAAAGTTGGGTGTTGGGTTCAGGTACAGGGCCTGATATTTCAAGTTTCAGCTTGGAATTATTATGATAATTGTGTCTTTATAGCAGGGGAAATGTCATCTTCAAAATCTATCCCATTAATAACAGCACCAACCAAAGATGTCCTATTCCTTTGGCAATGAAAACTATTGTGATTTAAAGAGAAAATATAAAACAAACTTTGCTTTATCAGTCAAAAGGCTCTAGAGCTCTGTCTTTTAAATAGAGGCTAAAATTCAGCACTAGATTGGGGAAAGAAATCCGTTCTCACAGTGGCCCATTTCTTCTAAAAAGAAACTTCAGCCACCTGAAAAGATCATCATGAGGCTAAGTTTTTCTGGTCTGGTTGCATGTTTTACCTGAATCAATTCAAAGCTGTGATTTTGAGGGGCAAGTGGGTTCTTTTTACACATGACCTTAACATCAAAGAGACTACAGGACAGATTGATAACAGGGCATTTGGTCAACCTATTTTTAGTTATTACAGCAAACTAGGGCTAAATGCATATTCCAGCAAAGCTGCCTCAGGGCTGTTGGCTACACTGGGAAGCTGAATATCTATTTCCTTATTACAAAAGAAAACAAGCTTTTCCATTTCTGTATCTTTAAGTTTTTAGTGTCTTTCTGGAACAGAATGTTTTAGAAAGCTTGGAACTTTGATGTATTTTTTTTAGTGGGCAGTCATTGAAAGTAATAAATGTTTGCATAAGCATTGTGGTAAAATTTAAGGCCAACAAATAAGATTGATAAGCCAAAATTAGTCTTGGAGAAATATAAACTTGTTGTAAAGTACGTATGAATTTATAGTACAATAGAAATGGATGAATTAGAAACAGGAAAAATGATGTGGAAGAAGGCAATAGAGCCAGAGAAGACTGCCTATGAAAAAGTTACTGAATTGGGGAAGAGAATCATATAGTCAAATCATCATGCTGTTCACCTTAAACTTAAACAATCTTGTATGTCCGTTATACCCCAACAGAGCCGGAGAAGAAAAGATCATATTGTACAGAGTATAAGACAGTTTATGAAACCAAATAGTCTATATCCTAACACTGGCTGTAATTTTTCAAGAACCTACCATGTGCAAGGCACTTCACTTAGATCATTTTTTAAAAATAGGATTTATTTTTTAGAAGAGTTTTAGATTTACTGAAAAACTGAGCAAATAGTACAGAGAGTTCCCTATACTCCAGCCCCAGTTTCCCCCTATTAATATCTTACAATAGTATGGCACATCTGTTATAGCTAAAGAACCAATATTGATACATAATTAACAAAAATAGGTAGTTTAGAAATTTCCTTAGTTTTTACTTTTCTTTTTTTTGTTCTTTGATCACTTTAAATTCTCCTAACTCTAACAATGTAGGAATTACCATCTTCATTTTTAGAAAATGGAGACTCAGAGGTTTTATAATTTGCCTAAAGCACTACATAGATAGGAGAACGAGTGGAAACTGAGGGATGGGTTATTCTGATTTCAAATCCTGTCTTTTTAATATGCAACACTGGCCAGAAATATTCTAGAGTGAAAAATAGAATCCTGACATGTCAGGTGTACTTTTTTTTTTTTTTCTAAACCCAGGGTTCCTTCTATTTGAGTTGAGAGAGATCCTTTGGACACCTATCAAATAACACGGGCAAAATGGACATTTATTAACCTCATAAAAAGTATGAAGGAAAGAGATGAGCGACTGGCTGGTAAATCAGAACACCAGACTTGCCAGGCTTTCTATGTAGTTTGAGCTGAAGATCAAAAAAAAAAAAAAAAAAAAAAGTATTTTAGCCAGGAAGAACAATTGGAAAGGAGCAGAGGGAGAAGATACCATTCCTAGATCATTTTGTTAGTTAATTATCTTGATTTCACTTTTCCTGGGGAAAAGAGTGCCTGGTCATTCCAATATCTCCCCAGTTAAAAGAACGGACTTTAAACAGACTATGTGAAAACGTATTTTGTGATTTATAGGTACACTTTTCTTGTACTACCGTGAATCTAAATATAACATGCTAGTAGTGATAATTAATGACCAAAACAAAAATCTATCCTTCTATCACAGTGTATGTTTCAGCTGTTCATAAATGACAATTTGAAAAACTATTCTGTGCTTTTTATTTGTCCTCTTTTGTCATAATGGTAAAGTGAATACCTAGAAGTTGGCATGGCAAAGCTGTGCCATATGTTTCTAAATTATGTAGTAACAGTGATGAGTGGCTACCTCAAGTGAACTAGCTACTTATAGATGTTACTGAGGGAATGGAAAAGCAGACACTGTAAACAGTTCTGTGTAATATGTAGATTGACATGACCAATCTTTTAATCGGTTAGGAATTGTAATGTCTGGATTATGAATGAATATGAGTGCATATATACGTTTGTGTACCTGTATATCAGTGTGTGTGTGTATGTAATGATGGAAAGGGGCAATCCTAAAATCATGCTTATTTTATATGAACTCCTATTTCATTCAAGAGGACTTTATGAGTAGACCAAATGTGTTGTAAGATCAAACTACTCATTTCTATGTGATTCATCCCATAGCTTGCTGTGAAATTATGGCTAATGTTGAGTCACTGTTAGCCATAAAAATTCTGTCTTTATTCATTTACTTATTTGACTTTGTGAGTTGGTCATGGCTCAAAAGCCCTTACCTTTCCTAAAATTTAAGACCTAGTCTTAGCTAACTATATATGTGCATGAGTGTATGTATATATTTTAAATCCATAATAGGGGCTCATCCATTCAGATAGGTTTTGAGGCATTTGGGTTAGCTCTACTATTCAAAATTCTTAAGAGTCACCTTGTCAATGCCACATATGATTTGGATTTTAAAAAATACATGCTCTAACCTTTTGAGAGAATGAAATGGCTATTAAGCCAGGATTCCTTCAAAAAGAATTGTTCCTCTCTTCATCAGAAGAAGAATTGAAATCTTTATATATGCTTTTTAGCATTTTCCTTCCAATCTCCTTGGTGCAATGGGCAGGAACTGTTTTGCACTAGTATTAGCAGAGAAATTCTGAAGATGCAGACTAACAGAAAAAAAAAATAGTATGAGAGGGCTCTTGCCTCATTACATTCTTGGAATAGCCTCATGCTTCCCTAAAACTGGACTGAAGAACAAAGGAAATTAAATCCTTCATTCCTGAAGAATTGTACTGTGTATAGTGGTAAAAGTCAAATGATTCATAGATCTTTCTCCTACAAAAGCAAATTTCATATACAATCATTGGCTCTTGCATTAAAATATAATCAGTGTTTGTGATTTGGGGTCAGGTGTCTATACAACTTAAGCTGGAATGATTAAGAGAGTTCTCCTAACTCTGAACTAAGTTTTAAATAGATGACTAGTTACTCCTTGCATCAAGCACTCTCTCTCCTAGGCTTGGTAGCAGAACCAGAAGATACCTGTGAGATATGTTCCTGATTCGAGGAACTTATGTTCTAGTTTGGAAGATAACATATACACAC